CTGTTTGCCAAGACACCCTAGAACAGACAGGGCCATTCCTGCCTGCCCTGGTGGGCCTCGATCAAGGAGCCTTTGTCAGGAGTAGGTCCATATGTGAAAACCTGGCAATGACAATTGAGTCCTTAGAGTTCAGAGAGGAGAAGCGGGAGGATGTGGCAGTTCTGATGCTAGACTTAGATAACTTACAATAGAGTTAATTGGGCTTCCACACTGACCACATTGAGGGCAATGAACTTTGGGGAGTCATTTTGCAAATGGGTAAGGGCACTCTATTTCTTTGCAACCGCAGTAGTGGTTGTCACTCAGAAGAATTTAGTCTGTTGCTATCACTCAGACAGGGATGCGCTTTGGCCGCCCTGCTGTTTGTTCTACAGATGGAAGTTGTACTGTGTGACATCCGACGCCACTCGTTGCTGGAGGGGATGAAACTGATATCTAGGAAGGAATGCAGGGTGAAAGCCCTGGTGGATGATCTGCTGGCCATCTCGGCTAATACGCAGATTTCTTTGAATGCTCCGAAGAAATGCCTCGCAAGGTACCCCAACCTATCTGAAGCAGCAATCAACTGGAACAAGTCTACCTACTTCCTCTCAAAGGACTGGAACCTAAAGGTGGACTGGGGCATGAGGAGGGTCCCTGCAGGTGCAGAAGAACGATATCTTGGAATCCAAGAGGCACTGGAAGACTGCATGGAGCCTCAAAGTGTCATCCTTCAAGAAAGAGTGACGGGAAGGATCCGCAGTTGCAGGAAGGCGAAGCATCTATCTCTGATTGGCAAAGTGTTGGCAGTGACGCCTTGTCCATCCTGCGGTACGAGGTAAGGATGAGAAATCTGGACAAGGGACTACTGAAGGGGGTCAGGACTGCGGCCAAGAGGTTTATTTGGAAACCAGGTTCAGCTAAGGAGAAGGGCTGGATTTCTAAAGTTGCCTGAAAGGCACTGTGCACCCCAGAGCAAAAGGGGGGCTGGCCTTGATGGACCCGGAGTCATAAAACGTCTCACTCCTCTCTCAAGTGGCTGGTGAAAGTGGGCACAATGGACCAACCAGATGAATGGTGCTTACTCGCCGAAGAGATCCTCTGTGAACAATGGGGCTTGACCAGATCTGCAGACGGCTGGGTGGCTGTTATGATCCAAGCAGAAGTGCAGACCCGGAGTCATAGAACAATGGGGCTTTCGGCCGCTTTCCTCAACAAGTGTATTAAGTCTCAGTTTCGGAGGGACATTCTTTCTCCCTGGCAGAAGTGCAGACCAAATCAAACCAGTGCTGGTCCCCGGTCGGACCGGCCCGGCAGGCCCCCGGTGGAGTCCAGCGCATCATGCTGGGGGGGGGGGGTACTGGGGATCGATGGCGTTACTCCATTTGCCAAGCCCTTGGGAGGCTAGTGTCCTCTTCGAAAAAACAAACAGGGCCTTTTGAACCCCCACTTCCACGTGTTTTCGTCAAAACACGGGGTCCTGTTTCTATATGGATTTTAGTATCATTTTACTAGTTTCAGATTGATACTGCAGTCTAAGAGACCACAAACCCGCTACAGTAGGCAGGTGTTCATCCTCGACCGAAGTGGAGAGGAGGATAGGAACAGCATGATTTAGCCCAGGCTTTGCTGTGTTTATATGCTTCTCAGACATCCCTATTCTGTGGGGAAAAAGTTATGGGTTGAGGTTTCTGCTCGTAAAATCAGAGTAGCAGTCCGAGGTGCAAGCCCAAGAATGAACCTTGCTCCACTACATGTATCTGGACAGCGCACGAGGCGAAATACTTTCGGACTGATGACCCACTGTATAAAGGAAAAACAAAAGGAAAGCGGACTGATGACTCACCATATAAGGGAAAAACAAAAGGAAGCTCTCTGCCTGCACGAGCTGAAACCTCAACCCATAGCTTTTCCAGTTTAGAGCTCGGTATCCCGAAGAGCTATAACTTTGGGCAAGCACCTCCCAACAGCATATGTCGTTCGGCCTCTAGAATACCAATGCCTGATGGCATAAACCAATAAAAAGGTATATGGTCGAATTGAAATTTGAAAGGCCACGGAGGGGTCAGGTAAAGCAGTTTACTTGACCCCTCCACATAAAGGCCAACCTCCGACTCCCTGGCCCCACCCGATAGTATGCCCTCCCCCCTCTTGGGAACCCCCCCCCAAAAAAATTGCACCTTCCAAATTTTATTGCGGATTTGGACAGATCTCGAAGAGCGCAGTCCGAATCCGCCGACAAAAAAAAAAAAAAAAAAAAAAAAAAAAAACCGAAAAATCCTGGGCATTTTTTTTGAAAACCGGTTTTCCGGTTCAGCCCCCCTGGGCTGGTCCGGATCCGGGTGGACCGGGGGAGGTGAACCGGCCGGTTGCCGGCCCAGCCTTGGATCAAACAGCCGAACCACAAGGGCGGAAGTGCTGAACCAGCACCTGCTCGAGAATCCAAATGTTTGAACAGCAGAAGGCACTCCCTTCGCAGATACGAAACCAGGTTCGTATAGGATGAGGTGGATCCAATGGGGTGTGGCCAGAGTACGCAACCTCTGGGATGACACTCAGGGCCAATGGAAGACACCAGAGAACATACAAGAGAGCGCTGGCCAATTGCAGCTGCAGGAGGAACGGATAAGGGATCCGATTGCTGCAATCCCTTCTCAGGTCGGAAAGATGGGATGAGGAAATCCCTGGGAAGTGCAGTCTGTCTGAATTCAAGAGAGAACACGCGGGTCTGCCTGAGATTGTACACAAGATGGTGTTGCGAGGCTACGCCCGCTCAGCCCCTTCGGGGCCCTTTTTGCAGCATGTCGGCCGCCCTAAGTGAAGGCAGGCGCGACAGGCCTCAGGGCCTCGATTTTCAGGGTACCCCGCAACTGGTGAAATTTAGACAGTTGCGCTGCGCCAGTTGGTTGAAGGCGCCCAGGCCCAGGCCATANCCTCAGGGCCTCGATTTTCAGGGTACCCCGCAACTGGTGAAATTTAGACAGTTGCGCTGCGCCAGTTGGTTGAAGGCGCCCAGGCCCAGGCCATATTTTGCAAATGTATCTGAATGGTGACCTGGGCCAGACGCGTGGGAAAGGCCGTAAGCAGGCCAAGGGCAGTTGGGCACATGTAACCATCAGGCCCTGGGCCTGCGTGTGAGGTCTGGGCCTGTGCCTACCGGGGCCTACTGGAAGCTTCCTGGACTGGACGCAGGCAGGCCACTTCGATATAGGGAAGGGCCTGCCTCCTCATTCAGCATTCGGGTGCTGGCTGCATGCTGCGCGAGCGCTGCTGCGCTATTTGCTGGCTGGCTGGCACTCACGCTCTCACGGGCGAGCAGGAAGGAGCGGGCAGCCATAGCCGAGCTGCTCCGCTGTAAGCTGGGTGTGGCGCAGGGTGGTCCTTGAGTGTTAGTGGCATCTGTGTGGTGTGGATCGGGGTTGTGAGTGTTGCGAGAGACATACCTGGTGCTGGAAGCGTGCGGCATTGTCCGCTGCATGCTTGTACTTCAGGAAGCTGTTGTTGTCAACATCGGCATTGTAGTATTAGGCTAGATAGGATCTGCCACATGTAGTCTGGGCGCCGAGCGCCAATAGGACATCAACTCTTGTTCTTCGTTGATGATGATGAGAGACTATTTCAGCATTGTCAATTACGAACTATTGGTGTGTTCTTATTTTGTGCATCTCGTGATGCATTTCTGCTGTTGGTTCGAGGTCAAGACTATCTGGCCTCATATGTATGATGCTGTTTGATTGCTGGAGTTCGCTAATGCTCACCTTCCTTGCAATTTGGTATCGGAGCCGTGGTACGATTGCGCTCATCTGGCGCTTGTCTTCTGCCTTATGCGGTACATACATGCGGTCTGCTGGGCGAGTTTGGCCGTAAGTGGTGTGTAGTGAGGAGGGTGGAGACGAGTGTAAAGGCGACCCAGGAGGTGAGGGGTTCGCCAGGAAGGTTATGTGAAGTGTATGTGGTCTGGACAGCGTGATGAGAACTATCTAATGTGCGATTGATGCTAAGGTGGAACGGTGGATAATGCTGGTTGTGCCGATGCAGTGACTGGTCATCGCAATCGCCATTTGGTCATCTGGTGAGATTATCTCTGTGGTTGGGGGCAGCTTGAATGAGGTACGTTGCTCTTAACCTTATCTACCCTCTTCATCACTTCTTACCGTGAGGTTGTGAGTTCTGTCTTGAGAGTCCTCTCATCGTGAGGTGTCGAGTGCGCTCAACCTTGAGAGTCGTGATTGTTCACGTGGAGCATCAGGGGGAAGACGGGCGGAGCTTCTTGAAGGGCCCTGGACGAAGCACTCAGGTCACGGTCACCATGCCAACCCACTGGGACTAGTACACGCATGCTTCGCTGCAAGTCGTTGGTTCTGCCGCTTGCGCAAGATAGGGGTTAACTTGAGTGTGGCAGCCTCTTAAGACGCATACCAGACCGTCTATAAACATTTCTGGTTGGGGACTCGGCACTGATCTGGCTGTGATCGTCGTCCTGTTGCGACGTAAAATAATTCCTGATGTCACTTGGGGGCGGACGTTAAATTGCCTCTTGATCAGCCAGATCAACAGAGTGTAAGGCTCGTCGGCGTACGAGGATAAATAAGAGTGTTGTGGCTGCCTTGCTCGATGATAACCTGGGGCCCAGGGGTGCGACCGGATTGCACACCTTTTTGACACGCTTGGCTTCTGATGTGTAAAAACGTGACACCGTGACATTGAGAAGAACAAAGGGAGGGGTAGATTCCAGGTGATAAGTTCGGGTTTAAATTCCAAGTTGTGAACAGACTCGGTCAGTCAACATTATTTTTATTTTTGATTAGTTAGATGGACAGCCATGTGACATCTGACAGACAGCATTAGTTTAGAATATTTCCTGATGCTTCCTCTGTTCGAGAACTAATCTTACTAAAAATAGTATTGACAGTAGGAATCTGACTTACCTGTTGACCCCAAATGAGATCTGTTCCAAAATAACCACCACTAATTAGTTGGTCTGTGCACTATGTTGCGGTAGGCATCCTGAATGATCTAGTGTAGACGGTGCACAGTGTTGTAGCCTATGAGCGGCAGGGAGGACACCGGAGAGGACGACCGCAGAACTTTGCGGTCAGCTGGAGGCCCAATAACTCACGTGTCCCTAGGACCGGAGGGTGATAGGGAACTGTTCCGCCGACAGAGGGAGAGGCAGCAACAGAGTAGAGCTAGAGCAGCCGAGGCCAGCAGGGCATTAGCTAGCGAGGCCGGTGCTACAGCAGCCATGGCTACCACAGCCATGAGCACGTCTGTGCAACAGACTTCCCAAGCCGGTAGTTCAGGTACCGCTGGGTCCACGGTCGCGCAGACCGTGAGTCAGTCCACTGGCTTAATGGCAAGCCAGCCCACGGTGTTGACCCCAAAGGATGTCTCCATCCAGCAGGCAGCCCTGCAAGAGGCACAGCTACAGCAGGCATTAGGACAGATAAAAAGGGAGAAGGAGATGATGATTAGAAGAAGGACCACGATGCAACGGAGAGGGGCAGACATAGAGGAGTTAGAGTCGATGGACCTGACGAACATGGATGACGATGTGAGGGTAGTTAGGAGGGCCCTGCTACGAGTAATAGAGATGCAGGAGCATCAAACTACCATCCTTCATGATATCCAGCAGAGCCTAGCCATTTTGGTAGGGCGTTCTCAGGGAGCACCATCACCGGCAGGGCCTGGTGCCTGGCCCGTGCCATATCCTCCTTTTTCTGTTCCACTGGTGACTGGGGTTTCCCCATATGTAGCCCCGTCATCGGTTGCTATCGTTTCCCTGGGGATGCCTCTGTCAGGAGGGGTAACAGCAGGGAGTAGTGTGTAGGTTCCTGTACAGACAGTGTTCACTCAGAGTCTGTTGCATGTTGCAGTTACCACGCAGCCTGCTGTCTCGCAACCTGTGCAGCCACAGGGCACACAGCCCCAGCAGCTAGCACAGCAACCTGTATCACCGGGTCCACAGCCCGGGGTGGTGCAGGGACCGGGACAAACTCAGTGGGTTCCAAAGACGACCATCGCCGCTCCTAAACCTTTTACAGGGGACAAGAGAGGCGAAGACCTCGACACTTGGTTGAGGGCAGTGCCGGTCTACGTCAGGTGTAAACTCACCTTGCCGCACGAAGAAGTGCTTGTGGCTGCATCCTACCTAGAGGGTGGTGCAGCAAGATGGTTGAGTGGTTTAGTACAACTCCAGGGGCACGGTCATGACTTCCGCTCTTGGGCAGCCTCTCAGAAACTGGAGGACTTCCTGAAGATGGTGGAAGAGAGATGGCATGATCCTCAGGAGGCCCAAAAGGCCACTGATGCGATCCTGACACTGCACACGCGGCAGTTTAAGTCAATTAGGGAAACCACTGACGCTGTTGAGCGTCTAATCTGTGTCCCAGGTGTGCGCTATGACCCCCAGGTCCTGCTGACTTCGTACTTGAGATACTTATCCCAGCCTTTCAGGAACCAGTTGGCAAAAGAGGCCAACAACAATATGCACAACTTTCCTTCGTTCAGCAAGGTGGCCCTAGACCTAGAAGCAAAGATAGGGCATGGACAGACACCCACTACGGACGGGAGAAAGAAGACATTGCCTCCCAACTGGAAGGCGAAGGGTCACATCATGTTTGTCGACAACGATGGTTCAACCATCGAGTTGGACGGCAACTTCCAGGAGGGAGTAGGTGCAGAGGCAAGTGGCGATACTTCAGAGGGTGGAGTAGTCGCCGCCGTAACCCAACAAAAAGGTAAGGGGACCGGTAGACGCCAAGGGGGCTCCCGGTCTAGGAATCAAGTTGACCCCAATGCTCCTCCATGGGAGAAAGCGGGTCTTTCTGGGGACGTGTGGAGAGATCGGTGGAACCGTTAGGCCTGCATCCGTTGTGGTCAATACGGCCATAACCAGTTCAAACGTAGGAACAAGAAGGTCACCGATAAGATCCCGCCTACTATGGGGCAGGCGGTAGGATCCTCATCTCCCGTAGGTAGCAATGTTGCCAGTTCATCAGGCACTGCTCCGGGAAACACGTCAGGCCAGTAGGAATAGTAGCTGTTCCTACTAGGGACGAGGTGGTGGAGACACCCTCGCCATCTCGCATCATGGTCCAAGCTACTGATTCCCTTGTCGTCCCGCAAACGCATTCAGACCCATCGACCCTTTGCTCGATGAATGTGTTTGAGTCCTTAAAGGAGTTAGAGGAGGAGTGGTCTAGACTAGACCCGCTAGCTTCTTGGACGGCACTAGCTAAAGCCCCGAAGGGTGAGATGTTCGTCAGCGAGATAGTCGTAGGGGGCCGCAAGGCCGGGGCCTATTATGACACTTGCTCGACACGGAACTTTATTAGTCGCGCGTGCGTTGAGAGACTGCATTTACAGGGGCAAGTGCAGCGCCTGAGTCGACCTGTGGAGTCGACCTGTGCCAACAAACAGCGCATGGTAGTTAATGACTACCTTCAGGATGTAGAATGCCTGTTCCCGTTCGCGGGAGGGGAGTTGAGGCATCGTGTCTCATTCCTAGTGAGCGACGATCTCCCTATGGATATCTTGTTAGGTATGTACTACCTCTCTGTGGCACAGCCTCAGTTTGACTGGGACCGAAAAGTGGTCAAACACACTTTGCCAGGTGGAGGGACCGCCAGACTACACAAGTTCAAAGCTAGTAGTCTGATCGATTCCCATGGATGCATGTGTGCGGCCGCGTTCTATAACTACTATAAGCAACATCAGGAGGAGGGTATGTACTTAGTTTATGTCTCTGCTGCAGGCGAACCGGTGAAAATGCCGCCGGAGATAGAGGGAGTGGTTGCCAAGTACCCTGATCTATTAGAAGAGCCAACAGGGGTTGTTGATAGGGAGGTCGTCCACGCAATAGAGATTATCCCAGGGTCTAGTATTCCGAAGGGTAGGATCTATCGGATGTCTCCAGGCGAGCTTGATGAGCTTCGCCGCCAACTCAAGGAACTCGTAGAGAAGGGTTGGATCCGACCGAGTGTCTCTCCTTACGAATCTCCAGTACTATTCGTACCTAAGAAGAAGGAGGGCACTCTCAGGATGTGCATTGATTATAGGGGTCTCAATGCCATCACTGTAAAGAACAGAGAGCCCCTACCGCGCATCGACGATCTGCTAGATAGAGTGCAAGGGTGTCGGTACTTCAGTAAGATAGATCTGAAGTCCGGGTACCATCAGATTGCAATCTGGCCCGAGGATCAACACAAAACTGCATTTCAGACCAGGTACGGTCTATACGAGTTTGTGGTGATGCCTTTTGGCCTGTGCAATGCTCTTGGCACCTTTCAGCACGCTATGAATCGGATATTCCATGACTACTTGGATAAGTTTGTCATCGTGTACCTCGATGACATACTTATTTTTAGTAAGACTGTCGAGGAGCACGTTGCACACTTGGACAANTTGTCATCGTGTACCTCGATGACATACTTATTTTTAGTAAGACTGTCGAGGAGCACGTTGCACACTTGGACAAAGTCCTTAGTCTCCTGCGACAGCACAAGTTCAAGATCAACTGTGAGAAGTGCGAGTTTGGGCGCACCCGTGTCTTGTACTTGGGTCATGAGATCTCCGCGGAAGGGTTGAAGCCCGATGACGCGAAGGTGGCCAACATTCGTGATTGGCCACGACCTCAGTCTGTGACTGAGATGAGACCTTTCTTAGGAATGACAGGCTACTACCGGACTTTTGTAAAGAACTATAGCGTAGTGGCCGCTCCTTTGACTGATCTGACCCGCCTTGATACCCCGTGGGAGTGGACAGATGAGTGCGAGGCTGCTTTCAGACATCTGAAGCATGCACTAACGCATTATGAAGTTTTGAAACTTCCCGATCCTGATAAGCCGTTTATAGTAACCACGGATGCTAGCCAATATGGCATTGGCGTCGTGCTTGCGCAGCAGTAGGGGCCAAAGTTGAGGCCTGTTAAGTACATGTCCAAGAAAATGCCGTCTCAGAAGTTGGCCAAGTCCACTTATGAGAAAGAACTCTATGCGGTGTTCAAGGCGCTGCCCCATTGGAGACACTATCTCCTTGGGAGGTTCTTCATCCTCAGGACTGATCATCAGACCTTGAGATGGATGAGAACTCAGCCTGTACTCTCTGACGCATTGAAGCGTTGGATAGAAGTCATTGAGCAGTATGACTTTGACCCTCAGTACATCAAGGGTGAGTACAACAAGGTTGTTGATGCCTTGTCGCGTAGACCTGACTTCTCAGGTGCGCTGATTACTAAGTACGATCTTACGGATGATGTCACTCGATCCTTGGTGGAAGCCTATCGAGAGGACCAGTTTATGTCTGAGATCATACGCAGACTCGAGACGAAGGATAAACAAACTTCAGCCGAGTTTGAGTTGGTCAATGGCTTGCTGTTTCTCGAGAAGGAAGGGAATAAACGTTTGTGTGTCCCTGATAAAGAGTCTTTGCGTAGTCTGTTTTTAGGCGAGTGTCATGATGCCACCGGCCATTTTGGGTACAAGAAGACCGCAGCCAATTTGCTGCAAAGGTTCTGGTGGCCCACGATGTTAAAAGATGCTAAGCTGTACGTGGAAACTTGTCAAGTTTGCCAACGAGACAAGCCCCGTACTCAGGCTCCTCTTGGGCTGCTCAAGCCCCTTCCGATTCCGGAAAGGCCGGGTGAAAGCTTGTCCATGGATTTCATGGATACGCTGGTCACCAGCAAGAGTGGGATGAGGCAGATCTTCATCATCGTGGATAGGTTTAGTAAGTATGCTAGGTTAATAGCCATGCCGGAAACAGTGAAGACCGAGTATGTAATTAGGCTGTTCAAAGAGAACTGGGTGAGGGATTTTGGATTGCCTAAGTCTATTGTAAGTGACAGGGATGTCAGATTTGCAAGTGAGTTATGGAAGGCTGCTGCAGCTGAACAGGGAACTCAATTGCAAATGACTTCTGGAAACCATCCAGAAGCAAACGGCCAGGCTGAACAGATGAACCGCGCTGTTCAACACCTGTTGAGGCATTACATTAAGCCCAACCAGGTGGATTGGGACGAGAAGCTTGCTCTTGTCGCCAGTCTGTACAATAACGTTGTACACAGCGCTACCGGGGTAAGTCCTAACAGTCTACAGCTTACCTTTAGGCCTAGACTGCCCTTAGACTTCCTACTTCCTAATAACCAGCCAACTGTTGCACCAGGCACTTTGGAGTTCGCTTATTGTTACAAACGGAAAATACAGGAGGCTGTAGAGCACATGCAGAAGGCGCAGGCAGCAATGATAGAATCTAAGAATAAACACCGCCGCCCTTCTACATTTCAGGTTGGGGATAGAGTCTGGGTCAAGTCTTCAGAATTGGGACAGGAGTTTGGGATATCCCGCAAACTCATGCCTCAGTACTTTGGACCTTGGGAAGTTTTAGACGTAGTAGGGACAGATACTGATGGTCCATCTTATGTCATCCGTATCCCTGTTCACCTCATAACTTACCCAGTCTTTCACGCCTCTAAGCTCGCTGCGTTCGAGGAAACTGATCAGTTTCCCTCTCGTCGATCAATGCTGCCCCCAACCATGGACAGAGAAGTCGACATCGATGATATCGTCGACCACAGGGAGATGCCTGTTCAGAAGCCTCCGGGAAGGGGACGTCCTCCAAAGCCAAAGCTGCAGTTTCGTGTCCACTTCAGACATCACACAGATCCGAAGGAGGACCGCTGGTTTACTCGGGAGGAATTGATGCAGACCGCTCCTCAAATCGTTGCCCGCTATGAGAAGGATGTATTGAAAGGAAAGCGCCAGATGGCTCAGGATAACGAAGATATGGAGGAGGGAATGTGAGGCTACGCCCGCTCAGCCCCCTCGGGGCCCTTTTTGCAGTATGTCGGCCGCCCTAAGTGAAGGCAGGCGCGACAGGCCCTCAGGGCCTCGATTTTCAGGGTACCCCGCAACTGGTGAAATTYAGACAGTTGCGCTGCGCCAGTTGGTTGAAGGCGCCCAGGCCCAGGCCATATTTTGCAAATGTATCTGAATGGTGACCTGGGCCAGACGCGTGGGAAAGGCCGTAAGCAGGCCAAGGGCAGTTGGGCACATGCAACCATCAGGCCCTGGGCCTGCGTGTGAGGTCTGGGCCTGTGCCTACCCTGTCTCTTATACACATCTAGATGTGTATAAGAGACAGTTCCTGGACTGGACGCAGGCAGGCCACTTCGATATAGGGAAGGGCCTGCCTCCTCATTCGGCATTCGGGTGCTGGCTGCATGCTGCGCGAGCGCTGCTGCGCTATTTGCTGGCTGGCTGGCACTCACGCTCTCACGGGCGAGCAGGAACGAGCGGGCAGCCATAGCCGAGCTGCTCCGCTGTAAGCTGGGTGTGGCGCAGGGTGGTCCTTGGGTGCTAGTGGCATCTGTGTGGTGTGGATCGGGGTTGTGAGTGTTGCGAGAGACATACCTGGTGCTGGAAGCGTGCGGCATTGTCCGCAGTATGCTCGTACTTCAGGAAGGTGTTGTTGTCAACATCGGCATTGTAGTATTAGGCTAGATAGGATCTGCCACATGTAGTCTGGGCGCCGAGCGCCAATAGGATATCAACTCTTGTTCTTCGTTGATGATGATGAGAGACTATTTCAGCATTGTCAATTACGAACTATTGGTGTGTTCTTATTTGGTGAATCTCGTGATGCATTTCTGCTGTTGGTTCAAGGTCAAGACTATCTGGACTCATATGTATGATGCTGTTTGATTGCTGGAGTTTGCTAATGCGCATCTTCCTTGCAGTGTTATCTCCTGCTACGGCACAGCGAGCTTGACAAAAAAAAAGTTGAGAAAAAAAAAAAAAAGTTGAGAGTCTTGAAGTGACTCAGCCAGTACGATCAACTCGTTACGTGCTGATTGCAAGTGGAGCTCCGACAGCAGACCTGCGGATCGACCAAACCAGGTCGGGGTGGAAGCAAAGGGAGGGCGTAACCTGGGATTTAAAAAAACAGTCAGAAGGATTAGGAACAGGGAGGCGGTCACACAGAAAGAAGATTAGCAGGGCGGTCAGTGGAAAATGGGAAAAGAGTTTACCTCACATCAAACCGCCTACAGAAAAAGAACTGCAAGAACTCTGGTCCCCCAACTCACGCTAATTCCCTCCCAGAAGATGGTGTCTCTGTTATGGCTGCAGTCACACCAAGCTGTCCTTGTGGCAAGATGGTTGAGATGGAAAGAAATGTTAGTTAAGGAGGCTTGTGGACGATGCAACTGGGTCTTTGAGACCATGGACCATCTTTGGTGGTCCTACGCGAAGTCCTCCAAATGCTGGAAGTGGTGGTTTACCTTCTAGTGTATGATCTCTGGGAGGCAAGACTTGATCGGGGAAAGGTGGGTCCTGATTGGCACTCGGCCAGAAGGTATCGCAGCGGACAGGGATGGGGATACGTGGCACAAGTGTGCAGAGCGGTCATGCTGTGGTTGATCTGGGCTGATTGCAATGATCAGAGATTTCAAGGCCAGGGCCTGTCAGATATCCAGGCGGAAAGGATGTTCAAATCCTTGCTCAGAAACGAAGTCCAAGCTGGCTGGTGGAAGAACGGTCAGGGTCGACTCTGAGGTGGTTCAAGGTACTTGGGCCCGGAGCAGTCATTTTGTGCAGATCTCACAGGAGTGGAGACTGGATCTGTCCGGATTGTTAGAGGGGTAGTACTAGCAGTAGGGTAGGTTGTAGCACATAGGTCACACCAGGGCACTCGGTTCATGGTTTGGGCTGCACGAGGTCATACAGGGGTGGAGGATGGAGAGTGCCAGGAGTAGCTGTAGGGTAGGTTGTTGCACATAGGTCGAACCAGGGCACTCCTTTCGTGGTTTGGGCTGCAGGAGGTCATACAGGAGTGCAGGGTGGAGAGTGCCAGGGGTTACATGAAACCTTGGTTCCAATCGGTCGAAGAGGCCGGTGTCAGGCCGGATTAGACCTGTGTATTAGGTAGGTTAGTGAAGGGTAGGCTGGCAATCAGAGTAGGGCAATAGGCCTAGACAGGCAGGTATGTTAGGAGCTGCGAAGTGTCTGATCGTTTGCTTGGTATGTTGTTTCTAACTTTCTGTGAGCGTTTTGCTGCCAAGCCAAGCTGAGTAATGCTCTCAGTATCCAGGTTGAATTGTGCGGTCCCCGACCTCAAGCTTTGTTGGAATAGTAAGGCTCTAATTATGGGGGGGGGGGGGGGGGGGGGGGGGRAGAAAAAAGAGAAAAAAAAAACTGCAGCGTTGGTCAGGAAGGCAGTTTTTCTACAGCCCTCCAGCATTGAATGTACCGGCCCAGGTTAAAAAAGAAGGGGAGCTCAAGGAGCTATTGCTTTCACAGGTAAGTTCCCACGGCTTTCTCAATGAGGACACATACGCACACCAGGACTTCTTCGACTCTTTCTGTCAGATGCAATTCAGGTCTGGACGTAACTGCCGTCAGATACATCAAGGAAAATCCTCGGGCGAGTCTCCCCTTGAGATTTGGCTTTCACCGAGGGCCCGAGGGGCGAAGGGACGCTGTGACTCCCTCACCATGCCAACTCCTCCTTGCCCCACTGTCTCTACTAACCTTCACCACAATCACAATCTAACCTTTCATATCTCCTCAGATCCACTGCGGGCATTTACAGGGCATATTCACATTAGACTGTTCCGTACTTGGCCACCAAGCAGTCTAAATTCAAGGAACCCGGGGTCTTGTCCCACTAGATGCAGATTAATTCTAGTTTCTTAACCTGTGGTGTAGCTGCGTGCAGTGATCATGTGGGTGAAAAAAAAAAAAAAAGGAAATGCAAAGAGATAATAATGAAAAAGGTTGTCCAAAGACTCCAAACCGCATCTGGCCCACACTTTTGGGCTGCACTGTCACCTGACATGCACCCTGCACTTATGGGCAGCCCACCATTTGGCAACGCAAATGCTGGCTGCATCATTTCGCTCTTCAGAAAATGCCTGCCATGAAAAGAAAAGAAAAAAACTGGGAATGCAAAGAGATAATAATGAAAAAGGATGTCCAAACCGCATCTGGCCCACACTTTTGGGCTGCACTGTCACCTGACGTGCACCCTGCACTCGCGTGCAGACCACCATTTGGCAACGCAAATGCTGGCCACATCATTTCGCTCTTCACAAAATGCCTGCCATTGACATCTCCATGCCCAAGGGGTTTCTGCGTTCTAGCGTACCACACGCCATGCAAGAAAAGAAAAAAAAAAACAGCCAAAAGCCGCAGGGAGATAATTAATTCCAAAAAGTGTCCGCCAATGGGAGGATGCCAATTTGTTCAGTCCATGCTTCTTATTATGACCTAATAAATCCAACTAATTTTCCTGACCATTCGATTGAAACGGAATCAATGGCTCTATCAACTGCGGCACAGTACCGAGTGTCCTAATCCTAGTTTAGTACTCCTGCAAGTCGGACATGGCCCCGGGTCACGCAAGACCCAGATGAATCTCCAGTCTGCCCCAAAACCAAAAAACAAAACCAGGTTGCCTTGGGCCCAACTAGAAACCGAACTGGGTCTCCTATAAATAAACAACAACAAAAAAATGAAACAAGACGAAAATAGACTGAGCACCACCGTCATCACCATCCCCTACACAATCTATCATGCTCATCAGATAATCACTGCCCTGCTTCTTCACGTCATTTTCATCAGAATTATGACAAGCACTTTCTAGATAAATACCCCATCATCATCATCATCATCATCATCATCATCATCATCATCATCGTCGTAATCATCCATGTCTAAGATTTTCTTATAGACACATTTCTATTGTAGTCCATTCCTGAAACGCAAGTGCCGTGCCAACGATGTTTGAAAAGCTCTTGCAGGTGGGATAACCCCGATTTTTCTAGCCGGCCCTTGTACACCACCTCTCTCAACCCCTCAACTTGCTCTTTTTCTCCTACTGCCCCCCAGCAGAAACCACAGCTTGGAGCCGCCGAGGTTTTCTGTTTCGCTCTGCTCCTTTTAGCCCTGCAGCTTGAGACTTCCGCCGGCCCTTGTACACCACCTCTCTCAACCCCTCAACTTGCCGTTTTCCTCCTATTGGCCCCAGCAGAAACCGCTGCTTGGAGCCGCGGAGGATTTCTGTTTCGCTCCGTTTCCAGCTGTACGTTCAACCCGCCACAGTTTTCTGTTTCTGCTCCTTCTAGCCCTGCAGCTTGAGACTTCTGACGTTTTATGATGCTCTATGCCCCTGACCTTCAGTTTGGACCAGGCCCCCCGCCAGATTCAGGGATCATGCCTAATCCATCCCTGACCTGCAGTTTGGACCAGGTCCGAGCCTGCAGTTTAGACCAGGCCCGGGCCAAATCCATCCCTGACCTGCATTTGGAGCAGGCTGGGCCCGAACAACATACTCAGCCCGCCTGGTTCATGCTACACGAAGTAGCACGTGGAGTGTGCGGTGTGTCTATGCAAATGCACTCTGTC